AACAGCTCTTCTGCCACCACCAACCAGGTGGGCCTTCCTCAAGATACTCTGGTTTCTTCTGGTATAACTAGCGCAGGCCCCTTTGAAACATAAATTCTGAAGATGTTCATGTAGTGACAGCAGCTCTGGAAGAAAGCATGTTAGCAGCAGAGATGCAGATTCCAAAAGACAGAAGCCCTGCACGAGACAGACAGGGAAGTGACAATTAAGAGATAAACAGAAATAATGAGGATGAATCCCTTGAATTCACTGAAGGGTTCAGGTGAGCCAGCAGGCAGGGAGGAGCTGGGGTGAGTAAACTAGACATTTGGGGCCAAGAAACTTAAGGTCAAAATGACATTTCTTCCCTAGCATAGACTGGGCAAGACTGCAACACAGTGATAGTTCTCAAGGAGCCAGGATGTCTGTAACATTGTGGTTTAGAACATTTAAGAGCAGCAGAAGAAAGGAATGAGTGGATTGGTTTAATCAGGGAAAAAACAGGATATTTCCAAGTTCATAAGCACCTTTGATCAGCTGTTCGGTAGAGCGTAAGTTTGCTTTCCTTCTGACCAGAACCACTGAGTACTGAGCATGGCTTTGACTGTGCAATGGAGGGTTACTTCATGCCAGTGAGATTCACAGTTATCCTGAAACATTGCTTGAATAACATAATTGTTTTAGTGGGATTCCCACCTACAGGAGGGAGGTAGATGCTCTGAATTGTTTCAGCAGTGCTAAGAAAGCAAAAGAGCTTTACTGATAGTGCAGTTTTAATTAGTGCCTCCACCAAATCTTTGAAAATAATCTCTCGGTGCCTCCTTGAGCCTAAGGGTGAACAGACTGTGCCTCACTGAAATACTGTGTATCGCGGGTGATTTTTGAGTCTTAACGCTGTTGCCACTGGACGGCAGTGTTGCCTAGTCACAGATCAACCAAGATGCTGGCTTACATTTGTTAGGAATCCAGATGGAGCCAAAAGAAATACTTTAGTCCATGCGTCTTTTCTGAATCTGACAAAGGCTGTGGGAGGCTTGTGAGTCCACCAGCCCTGGTGAGTATTTTATTAAGTAGAAGTGTTTGCATTAATGATCAGCCTGTCTAGATTGAGGTAGCACGCTTTGATTTGCTTTGCTCTCCACATTTTCAGTTGTAGAATGGAAACTTTGGTCCTCACAATCCTGACAGCATAAAGCAAAAAAGAAATGATGCAGTGCAGTACAGTGTAACCCAATCAATGCAGTGCAGCCCAACTAAAGCACTTGGTGGGGTTTGCACATAGATAAAAACTCAAAAACTGACCAGTGAAATATAAAGTTGTCATTTCAGAAATTCATTTTGACTATTAACTTTTATTAAATCAAATCACTTTATTACATCTCTCTATCGCCTATCACCTAGTGAAACTGGTAGAGTCTAGGTAAAGTGTGAGTTCTCAAAACCAATTCAAAAATTAAATATTCTTTCTGTATCTTCTTCTTATCCACAGATATGCAGGTAGCATTTTGATTTAGAAGCATACTTCAGGATTTAATTTAGAGACTGTTCTTTGTTAACTTTTTAATAATAGATGTTTCTTCTTTAGACTGTTAGTAATAATTCCTTATTTTGGGCCAGGAATTTAGCTCAGTGGCGGAAGCACCTGCCTGGCAAGTGCAAGGTTATGAGTTTGATCCCTGGTACCAACAACAACAAAATTCTTATCTTTGAAAAGTGCCTTAAAATTTTTAAGCCAGTGTATATCTTTTCTTACTGGATTCTTACAGTAGTCTGGTAAATTTGGTAAAGGAGGAATTATAAATTCCAGTTTCATGCTCAGAAAATAAGTTTAGACTGAACAAGGCTCCCAAAGTCACTTAATCAACTTCTGGTTCCAGATGGTGGTTCTTCCTTCCTGATCCACACCATCTACAAACAGAGCCTCTTGCTTTCACAGGCTGAGGCTGTGGGTATTTCTGTCTCTTCTTTCTTCCTTCAGTTCATACGCAAACACATCTCTTTTTAGTTTTGTCAATAATTGATCGGCACAGCATCATTTTTCATGGACTCACCATGAATAAGGGCTCTGTAATTAAAAGCCTTTCTGCTTCATAAGGGCTTTATTCTAAAGAGTGTTTCTGTAGAAACGTCTTTTACTTGAAAGACTATGGATCACTTTTCAAACGTGAAATTGTCTTATCTGAAATACATTCCTACCTGTGCTGAAAGATGTAATCAATGCCTTGATTATGCAGACCATCTTTATCAAAGGTGCCTTGGCTCCCTAAGAGCCCGAGGGTACAAGATAGGAGACCTTTGGTGGTGTCAGAATGTGTTTGGAGCTCAGCTTCCTTGTCCACCCCGCAGGAAGGAAGGTTTCAGAGGTCTTCAGTCCTCCCCGGCCCTCCCATGTTTTCAGCATCAGATAATGGGCATATTTCTAGGTTCAGATCACTTGAATTCAGTTGATGCCCTTATGCCCTGCAACATCTTTGTCGTAGTGTCATTTTAAAAACTGAAAGCCAGAATTTATCAGGTAGTATATTAGGTTGTAAGAATTTTTTTGTCTATTTTACATGCTACCAAAATGAATTGAAAATTAAATTCACCGACAAATGGTCCCTCTGAAACTGCTCAGAAAAATCAGACTCAGACTATGTAGTGGTATCTAGACAGTCTGTAAGTCCATGATGTGTAAGGAAGGGTGCCGGAACCCTTGCCTAATCCAGCTCAGTGCAAGGTGTTCTCTCTCCCACCGGGTATGAATTGAACTCAGGACCTCACACTTGGCAGGGTTTTTGACCTGGATTGTTGATGCTTTCCTCTTTGTGTGAACATTGTGTATGCCAGTGAATCATTTTACATTATGACCATATCATTCAACCATCTGTCAAACATACTTTTAGTATAAATTTTAAAATAATTTCAATTGACATGTTTACTGAGGTAGCTTTAGATTTACACACAGTTACAAGCAATTTGCAAAGTAATCTGTGTCCCCTTCCCTAAGTTGTTCCAAAGGTTTCACGCAAAACTAGTATAGTATCACAGAGTACTAGCAATGATACAACTCCGATGATCTTTTTTTTTTGGTCTTTTTCCTTTTTATCAGTACCGGGGATTGAACTCACGACTGCCTGCTTGCAAGGCAGGCGCTTATGCCACTGAGCTAAATCCCCAGCTGCTCTGATGATCTTGTTTAGCACTAATTTGTGTGTGTGTTCTTGTGCATGTGTGTAAGTGTGTCTTGGAGCTGTACAATCTTACATGTCTAGGTCTGTGTCTCTACTACCACCCTCAAGGCACCAAGACACTCCCTCTTTCATAGCCACACCCACCTCCCTCCTGCCTCTGGTAACTGCTAATATGCCCTCCATTTCTAAAGTTCTGGCATTCCTAAAGTATTACAGAAATGGAGTCATAGCGTACAACCTTTTCAGAGTGGCTCTTTCTCACTCAGCATGACTCCCTGGATGTTCATCCAGGTCATGGTGCATATTAACAACTTGCTGCTTTTTTATTGCTGACTTGTATTCCATGGTATTGATCTGCCATGGTTTGTTTACTCACCCACTGAAAGGCATCTGGGATTCCCACTTCTTGGCTACCATGCACAAAATTGGTGTGCATATGTGCATATGGTTTGGTGTGAATATGTTTTCATTTCTCTGGGATAAATATCCAATGGATATAACTTTTTTTTAAAATTTTTTTTTGTCTTTTTCTTTTTTATTGGTACCGAACTCACGACCGCCTGCTTGCAAGACAGGTGCTTATGCCGCTGAGCTAAATCCCCAGCCCCTGGATATAACTTTTAAAAGATAATAGGAGTAGAGTTTTCAGTAGATGTGCAGACAGAGGAATCACTTTCTGTTGCTGTGTTGCGTGTTTTCATACCACACATGCACTGCATCGCTGGTCTCTCAATTCCTTGAGAGCTGGGCTCCTGTATCAGTTGTACAGCAACACTTAATAAACGCTTCTGAAGGAAAGCACTTATTTATTTATTCATTTTGGTACCAGCGATTTGAGCTCATGACCTCAGGCTTGCCAGGCAGGTACTTATGCCACTGAGCTAAACCCTCAGCCCCAGGAAAGCATTGCTTTATCACACAAAATGTGTATGTCATCTGATATAATTTATTTTCATTGAGTTACATTGGTGTAAAATGACAAAAGTTACTGTCTTTCAATTATTTCATTACAATCTTATAGAGAGGAGGAATTCCTGATTAAGACTATGCTTTGGAGAAAATTAGAGTGGTTTAATATTTGTTTGGATGAAGAAAAATTGTTAAACATGAAGGTGATGTAATACATTATTTCACCTGAGGGAACTGAGATTAAAAATTCAACTCTTCTCTGTATCACATAAAAAATGATGTGGTCTAACGTTAAACACAAAACCACACTTTAAAAGTAGAATAATGCATATATTATAAAGTACTCTATATTTTGACACTTGGTAAATATTTAATGTCATTTAAATTCAGATATATTAAAGATTTAAGCAACATTCTCTGAAGCCATAGCCAGAAAGAATATCAGAAGTCTAGAAAATTTTATTTTTACCATCATTAATTTGAGTTTGGTATTTTATTTCAAACTTCATAATGGATGTTGAATTCCTGATATTACTATTATACCTTTGTATATTACACTGGATTTGGTCTCAGCCAAGTGGCAAGACTCAACACTCCTTGAGCTAAGAGTTGAGTTTTATTTATAGAAACAAATTCAACTTTAAAATATCTGCACTATGAGGTAAATATTAGCATAGAACAATTAAATATGCAAATTAATACACAATTTTTAAATTATAAGTTTGACCTTCTCTAATCAGTCTTTTACAGACATTTCTAAAGGTAACTATGTTCGATAATTATCTTACAGTCTCTCCTTTTGCTCTTCTACCAGGTATGCTGATATGTCACACTGCTGAATGATGTTTCAAAAGATTAGGAAAATAAGGTTTTGTGTAGTACAAAAATGTAGTTACTTGAAGTAGCCTACATACCCCTGTACAATCTAATACCCGAGTTGTCCTTTGAAACTTGACAAATTTTGTACCAAGGAGATTTTAGACATTCTCCAATTGTAAAGATTAGGGGAAAACTATGAACTCTTCCTTCCTTAGTATCTTTTCAGTTCTAATTTGGAGAGTTTGCCCTGATAGGCTAATACGAAGTCTGGCTTGAGAAGCAGCAGCAATTTATAGTTCAGCTGAAGTGAGTCCTTGTAATATTGACAGGCGCGGTGCAGCACTAATCCATGGGAATTCCTGCGACATGGCAAACAATACACTTTCCGAGACGGGTTTGAATTATGAATCCAGTGGTGGGCGGTCTCCGAGCCCCGTGCAGAATAGCTTTGGTGTGAGTTGATGGAGCATTTTGTACCTGGGATTCAGAACTTTTATGAAGGCCAATACCCTGAAACTCATTCAAGCAATAAATTCACTTGTCTTTGAGTTTACAAGGCAATAAACAGTGAAGGCCTTTGACCTTAACATTTACTGAATACATTCGCAGCAGTTGTGTTTATTGACAACTATTTATAGGGAAGTGTTTGGTACTGAATTTCCTAAAGGGAGGTAGGGGGCAATTTTGTATTTTTTTTTAAAATAAAAATTCTGAATTTAATTTTCAGGTATTTGACAAACTTTCAGTTTTGGAGTTTACCTTTCTAACTATGTGCAAATTGTGCTTTGGGTGTGTCTTTCCATGGGGTAAAGCTGAAGTTAGATTAGATACAGTCAAAGAAGACTCGTAGGGAGGGAAATGACACTGGAGTAATGTTTGCCCATGCAGTCAATCAGTGCTCTGTGCTTTGCAAGCAGGAGAGAAGAAGATGGGAAGGAGATCGGAAGGATTTTTCTCCTTTCTAGATTCATCGTAGGTCATGGATTGAATTGCTTCTCCTCTGTGTGGACGTCCAGTCACAAGGTGAGCCTGGATGTCGCCTCCCCCTTATCTCAACTACTTTGTGCACTTGGAATTCTCATGGATTGAGGGCATGAAAGTAGAAGAAGAATCTGCATTATTGAAATAATTCCAAACAGGGCAGGCTCCAGCGCTTCTTTATTCTGAGAGTTGGGAGAGATTCCCATGGCTCACATGGCAGATGAGGGGTGTGTGTGTCTGTATTCACCAAACAAGGTCAGAGAGAGTTTTGTTAGATGAGCTTGTGCTGGTGTCTGAATCTGAAAAAAAAATGCATCAAGCTCTTGGGATGCAGGGCACAAAGCCACGCTAAACTCTGTGGGGTCCCTTTTATTCAAGAAGATTCCTCTCAGCCAAGTTTTCCCAATGATCCCCCAGTTTCTTCCCAGCATAAGGGAACCTCTTCTGGGGTATTTGAATGGTTGAAGGGTGGAAAAATTCCTTGCTGATGACAGTGGGGCTCCTGCTTTGGAGAAGTGGGAGTTGGGAGCCATCCACCTCCTGAGTTCCACAGTACGGCTGACACCTCTGTCTTGGTAGGTGGATTCTAGAGAAATTACGTCTGGCAGCCTTTCAGTTATCCTCCAAAACTTCAGCTCACAAAATTCTTCATAAACTTCCAGTCACAGAAGGAGCAAACTGCTAACAAAACATGGTGTGTGTGCTTTGGTCGCCGGTTCCTTTTTATGTGACATTATCAATCTGTGGATGGACTCCATGGAGGCCCAGCCTGTATTTTTGCATTTTGACCTGAAACTGGGAAGATTCAAAAAGACTGAGGAGGGAAAGGAATCCTTATTTGGTTGTTGGGGAGAGTAAGGTTAGGATAAATGTGGTATTACGGTGTCAGATTATGGTTCTAGCTGGTTCTGCATAGAGAAAAAGATACATTTCCATTGCATGGGCTTCTTGCTTACAAATATAATCATTGTTCCAGGGAGTGGAGAGAAAAAGCGAATCCTAGACCAAATACTGCTGGGAGAAATCAGTTTGTGAGATAAAGGGGCAATAGCTGGAAACATTTGTTATTTTCTAGAATTAAGTGGTTGTCATTCTTTTCATAAATGTCATGCACTTATTAAGTGTCTTATAGTCATATTCAGTGTAACGTTTCACTGTAGTTGTGTCACATTGAAATTAATTTTACCCCCACTTAGCCGTTTTGTTGGCGTGTCTCTGGCCTGTAATCGGAGGCTACATTCCACACGAAGTCTCAGCATTGTGTAATAATATTAGTTGGAGAAAGCAAGTAGCTGCTTTGCTGCTTTCGAAGGTTATCATGTGTAATGCCTTTTTCCAGTTCAAGAGCATATCTTGTTTTAAACAATTTTTTGACAGGCAGCCAAAGAAAAGGTTGGCTCAGATATGCCCTTACAAGTCCTGTTTATGGGATACAGTGTTCCATTTCTTGGAGGAAGATGATAAAGTCAGACTGGCTTAGGGAGGTACATAGGAATATGTGTACATGTAATTAAATACCATGTGTAAAATTCAAAGCTGAAGGGAAACAGTAAAATAGAAAAACATTATGAAAGGATGGTTGACTGCTATCTTACATTTAACCATAGGTAAGGGTGAAGTTCTAATTGTTGTTAGTGAAAAGAATGTGTTAATAAAAGCTATCTGGTGGAAGACTAGTGGCAGTATTCTGATGGGGCTAAACTGGGGACAAAAACATGAAAAATAGGAAGACTATTTGGAAAACTTCAATTTTCTGTTCACTCATCAAATACAAAGGCAAACAACATAATTTTCTATTTATCTTCTTTCTCTAGGAAGGCAAGATTGTTTTTAAGATTCAGCTGATGTCACGCTAACTTTGGAACAGCGTCTTAAAAAACGGGAAGCTTTATTCCCTGAAAAAAAATAGGAATTCCCTGAAACAACCAGAAACTTCCCAGAAAGCCGGTGTACCCAGCCTTGTGTCGGAAACAAACAAACACAATCCACAGGCTGCAGAAACCTGCTTGTTAAGTGGCGAAGGGAAATGTCCTCAGCCAGACAGCTGAAACGCAGGAATGTCGCTCTGGAGATCAGATCCACGATCGGAAGCAGAGAAGAGGCCGATAAGGCTATGAAGAAAGCGGCGTCAGTCACCAAAACTGGTTTCCGAGGTAAAGTGAGGAGGGCCAGGAGGCTTGTGATAGGATCGCATTGTGCTGCCCAGTCCTGGCACACACCGCAGGCACTGCTGAACTACTGCAGCCTGCATGCGAGCAAAGCCTACCACATCGGCCTTGGGTGCGAGGGGAAGCGTTAATGTGGTGAAGTCCTCCGGGGAAGTCGCCTTCCTCCTTCCCCAAACAGGGCACTCAGTCTGTGGTCAGTGTCCTTGAGCCACACCTCAGGTAACTCAGACCCATATCGTGAGCCCTAGGTTGTCTCCATAGGTCACAGTGAGATCTTTTTTGTGAGATGGAGCTGTTACGTGGTATTGTTACCCTTCCATCAAAGGTAGCCGACTTCATCTAGCATCAAAATAAAATCAGCCTCGTGCTTCTCTTTTTTCCTTTTTGCGTCTTGGAAGTCTGTTCTTTCTGGGTAAAATGGCAACTTTGCACATTTCCAGTGTATTTGTGAGTTTGTAGGATTTCGGTTTATGACCCTAATTCCTAACCTAAAATGCTTAGACTCACAGCCATGGTGCTAAGAGGTAACACATCAGCCTCCAGACGTGCCCACGGTTGTCACGCGAGAGAACTTTGTGACTTGATGATGTTGACAGGCATTTTTGAGAGTCACTTTGACCATTCCTGATCATCTCTGGGGGACATGGATAGGAAGAATGCCACACACTGGGGTTCCAGTGGAGCTAACACTTATTTTGAGGTGTTTCAAAGTTTGTCTTTGGCCCTGCTAAGTGTAGAGGTTAGAAGAAGTGTCTAGGTGTCCACGTGCGGAGGCCTAGTGCTGCTGCCCAGTGGCCTTTGTCAGTAAGCGGGGATTGGAGGCGCAGCACTTACTGTCTTTTTTGCTCAGCATTCATCTCATGACTGCCTTTATAGTCAGTTCCAGATGTGCTTGACTCCCGGGCCAAGTCTTCAGAGGTGACAGATGGTGTGTTTACCTCAGCATAAAAAAGGTCAAATTGTGCTAGTGATCACAGGGCCAACCTCTGACTGTCCCGGGAGAGGGCCTGACGGATCGAGGGGCTGCAGTCCAGCCCAGAAGCCAAGGAGAAAGCAACTTCCCCGGGGAGAAGCGGAGCTGTCATTCTCTGTGGCTGCAGTAGAGGTCGCAGCTTGAAAAGAAAGCAGGAAACCAGAGCTTTTGAGTTGGTGTCTCCTGGGTCCCTCTTCTTAGAGTAGCACTGTGAGCTGCTGGCTGGCTCTTGTGGTGGTCTTCTGCAGCCATGGTATTTGTGAGCTCTATTTAGGGGAACTTAATTATCTTGACCTCTCCACTGCTTTGTACCTTTGAGACGGCTGCTCAGGCTTGAGAATGGGGCGGACCCCTGCATCCTGGTGTTGACTTGCAGGATGCTTTAGGGGCACACATGTTTGGATGTTCATTCATTCTGCTTACCAGCTCAGTACTACTCACACTAACAGTGTGAACCGCGTTGAGTGGATGGTGGTGTTTTGCTAATGCTCAAATCACTGACTAAAAGTAGAAACACACTTTGAGATCCATTCCTATATGTAATTAATATGTATTTTTAAATTTATTTAAATAAAATTTCATAACAAAATACTGAGAATAACAATAATACATTTTGTATCATCTTCAAAGTAGTTACTCAGAGTGCAAGTCATAGGCAAAAAAGATTCTTACAAGGGAGAAACAGATCATAACAAAACTTTAATGAAGTAAAATAGACAAGTAGTAAAATGAAACAAATTAGCATATGCATTAAAATATTTCTGAAACAGTGAAATAACACAATTTAGGGGAGTATTTGAACTTCTCTCTACTTCCTATTTGTATCTTTTATTTTGCTCCTTAATTGTATATATATAGTATGTAATACTATGTTCTGTGCACTAGCTTCAAGGCTTTGCTGGCTGATGTAGAACTATGAGATCTCATATTAATGGTAAGCATTGGTGAAGACTAGGTTTCCAAATGTTGATTTGAGTGAGGCATTGTTCATTGTGGGAAGCACTAGAAGTGAGGTTAGCATTACGGGGGATTAAAATTCCATGAGACGGGCACTTGCATCACTGTCTGTTGGAACTGGGACTAGAAATATTCATGTTAGTTATTTGTTATTATCCTTTAATGAATGAGTGCAAATAGTGGTGTGTAAAAATGTATCACCCCACATGCAAGCTCATACTATATGCCGAGCATAAACTGTTAAGCTGTGTGTGGTGGCACACACCTGTGATCCCTGCACCCAGAGACTGAGGCTGGAGGATTGCTGTTTTGGTACTAGAGATTGAACCCAGGACCTCTTGCACCCTGGTCACGCATACTACCTCTGTTACAGCCCCAGCCCCATCTGAACCGCACCTGCACGTGAAGTTCAGTTAAATACATCCACGGTGTTGCCCAACCCTCACTGCCATCCATCTCCAGAACTTTTTCTAGCTCCCAACTGAAACTCTTAACTGCATAATTGAGACCCTGTCTCAAAAAAGACAAAATAAAACAAAGCAAAACACAACCAAAAAACAGAAACCCCCAGAGTACAGACTGTCATGGCAGAGTTCTTTTGAGCTCTGCACGCCTGTCTCACCGTAGGCCTGGCGATGCCTCTGCTCCTTCCACTTGCGTGTTTAGACACGAAGTACTGAGAGCGCCACTCGGGAAGCGTGCGCTGCAGGAGGCAGAAGCAGTTCCATCATCCCCGAGCAGGGCTCAGTTCTAAAGCACCAGCAAGGAGACTCAGAATTTGCTTAATGTTACACATTTGAGATCACTGCCATGGACAAAGCAGGTACTTTTAACAGAGATCAGTAGCCAAAAGATAGAAATGACTCCCATGTCTACTGCCGGGAGACTGGGCAAGCGAAGTGTAATCTGTCCGTAAGCTGAATGTGACCCAGCCTTCCAAAGGTGGAGATACTGACACTGCTATGGCATGGATGATTCTGGAAGACGTCACGCGTGGGGTATAAGCAAGCCAGTCACAGGGATGGGTACTGTGTGGTCTACTGACAGGAAGTACCCAGGTAGTCAAAACCATAGGGAGAGTAGGACAGTGGTTTCCAGAGAGGGGGTGGGGCACAGAGAGGAGTTGGCATTTGATAGAAACAGAGTTTCAGTTGGGGCTAGAAAAAGTTCTGGAGGTGGATGGCAGTGAGAGTTGGGCAACACCATGGATGTATTTAACTGAACTTAACGTGCAGGTGCAATTCAGATGGGGCTGGGGCTGCCCCAGAGGTAGCGCGTTTGCGTGGCGTGCAGGAGGTCCCAGATTCAATCCCTAGTATGGAAACAGGGTATAAAATGTAAATTTCATATTACGTTTATGTTACGATGATAAAAAAGTTGTAGCAGAATCATTTCAGACCCCCAAGAATTCTGTGGTCTGAGAGACACTGCTCTGGATATGGTTTCCCAGCATACCCCCTGACTCCAGGGCCAGCCCGCTGTATTTGGCACACAGGAAAAGATAGACTCTTGTCCTAGTTTTCATGATGCCCAAATGTGCCAAGTTAGATGGTTTCCTTTAGTCTGGGTTCTATTTATGCCACTTCTATTTTGGGGGCTCATGGGGATTAAGAGCTTCCTTTAGTAAGATAAAGAGAGTAATAGTTGATGAGATTTTCTTCTTAAAGTATCTAATTGGCAGAACATGTGGTTGGGAATTCCATATTGCTACCCCCCAATTAAATGCCTATTTTATAAGTGAACTTGGGGGATCTAAAAGTCTGGTAGCTGCTGCTTCTTGGAGCTGGCATGTGGTCCTGTTGTTCCTTCCCATTTTGATGGCTGTACTTACTCAAGGTGCATTGAACAAGAGAAAAATTATAGCTGAGCGTTCCTAGAACCAGATTCCTCCATCCCCTCAGCGGCCTCTGCAAAGCGTGAGGAATGGCACAGATGGAAGCGGTTGTTAACTTGCCTGCGGTATTTATCGAGCACCTATGGGAGGCTTGGGGAAACACAGATGAATAAAATTTGGTTTCTGCCCTGGAGGAGTGCACAACCTGGCAGGGGGGCAGTCACATCAACAACCTGCTACAACATAGTGTGATAAATTATGTCATAAAGAGGTGGACAAAGAGCTAGGGAGCACAAAGGACGGGTAGTAAAGTGTAACATTATCCTGATGTTTTACAGCTTTGATAGTAAGGAAATATATTGTTGAGGACACCAAGTCAGGCCTGTTGGTTGAGATGTGGGCTCGCTTCGCCTTATTTTGACCCCAGATACAAAACGATCTTCCCACCAGGACATAGGAAGCTGTGAATGGTGAATTCTTGGTTAGGATCTGTGATAGAAGGCAAAGATGGGGGATGTGCTAGTTATTAAGGCCCAAGTATATTAGAAGAAAGAGTTAAGAATCCCAAGGCAGGTGGATCAGACAAGAACCCAAGGTGGGTGTCAGACCCCAAGCAACAGAGTAAGGGAAGAGGGTACGTACCAGCCCCTCTCTGTGACCCCAGGTGGCGAAGGGGCTGATGATAACTGCAGTATTACTGAAACAAAGGCTCGCTGGGCAAGTGACAATAGACAGTACTTATGGAAGGCTTAGTGTGTCCTAGGTCCCGTGCTGCACCGTCCCTTCCTGTATTCTCACTACAGTGTTGGGGATACTAGTACTGCTGTCACTCCCATTTTACAGATGAGGTAATAGAGCCCTAGCAAGGTGGCTAAGTTGTTCCAGGTCATTTAAAGAGGTATAACCAGGGCTTGACCCCAGGCCTGCAGGACCCCAAAGCTCTTCTCCTTCATCACACCCTCTTTTCCTCAGGCCAGCACAGTCTCACCTCCTAGCTGAGCGTCTTCTCCTGTGTATTCTGTCTGCACCTCAAATTTCCTGTATGAAAGTAATAATCGTGTTTCTTCTGTCTGCTTTGGTGAGCATCTCTGTCTCTTTTCTCCCAGATTTAGGGATCTCAGCCTCTTCTCTTCTCCGCTTATGTCTTGCTGGCATCCAGCCTATGCTTTCCATTCCCAAGGCCAGTGGGTCCCATCAGCCGCGCAGTGCCTCTCACCTGCTGATTTGTTCTGTGGCTACTTTTCACTGTTTCTAGGAAGAGAGGATGCCTCCCTGGATAAAGCTTTTTTTAAATCCCAGCTCTGCTTGTTATCATTTTCTGTTAAAAATTTAATAGAGTTTAAATAATAACAGTGGACTTCTCCCTATGAACTCAAGAGAGTCTACCTCTTTAGTTTGTCATTTGCATTTTTGGCAATACTTTGCAGCCCAGCTTCCCAGTGCTAACCCGGGAGTCAGCTTCCCATCCTGTGTACCCCTTGTGTTCGTTGGATCCAAGCACACTGTTACTGAGCGTACCATGCGCTTGGTCACCTCTGGGCCTTTACAGGTGAGTACCAGTGGCTCACAAGAGGCTCACTGGCTCCTCTGCCTGCCACCATGGTAACTGCTATTCA